CTTATAGAGGTTGTTAACCTCTTTTTGTTTTTGTGTTGCTCTCTGAGCTGCCATTTGGAGCGGCCTAAGATTGAAGCTGTTTCATGTAAGACTCAGTTTCCCTTCTTACCAGAGTGAGTGGGAGAGGTTAGGTAGTACTGTTAGTTGGCATTTTGTCCACTGAGACCAGTTCAGTGCCCTTCCAGGGTACAGCTTCTGCAAAGTTCTTGGGGGCATTCTAGCAGGTCTAGTCAGGCCTCAGTGGCTTTGTTGGGTTGGGCCTTCTTTGGAGAGATTAGATCTATCCACCCGCAGGGCTAGACAGTGGCTGATCTCTGATATGGGTCCAATTCTCAGGAGCCCTATACTGATCATCCATTCACTGCTGCCCATGAGCACAGCCTTCCTGGGCTTAGTCCCCAAGTGTATTCACTCACACCAGCTTAGGCTCCTGGCTCTCTTCAGCTGCTCATGTGAGCCACTACCACAAAGGAGAAGCTAGTCAGGCTCCCCTTYGCCCTACACACTTGAATCCCACTGGGTACAGACTGTTCCTATGTTCAGCCAGGCACACCCTAGGTCACCCATTTGGTGCCTGCCAGGATATTGTGGCAGAATTTGCTCTGATCTCCTGCCTCCAGGAGGGAGCTGTCCTTACAGTGAGATTGCCTCAAAATGGCTCCACCCCAACTCTCTCTGACCAGTTGAGATACCGAATGTGCTTTTCAAGCACCACTGTACGGTACAGTCTCTGGATTAGCTAAATTTAAGCAGCTTTTAAAAAAAWTTTTAATTTTTTTTTAGTTGTAGATGGACACAGTACCTTTATTTTATCTATTTATTTTTACGTGGTGCATAGAATCGAACCCAGCCCCTCACGCATGCCTCACACATGCTAGGCAAGCTCTCTACCACTGAGCTAAAACCGCAGCCCCTTGGCAGCTTTCTTTTGATCTTAGCTTTTTCCTTACCAAATCTCTCTTCTCCCCTTCCCTCTGTGGTGAGTCGGTGCTGCCATCGCCACTTTTCCATGCTGGGGTAGCCAGGTCAGCTCCAATGTATTCTTTCTTCTTTATTTTTTGTACTCAAATTCCTGAGTCTGTAAGCCACTTTGAATGTCCAAAATTGAATTTTAGTTCAATCCCTATTTTACCCACCTCACTGAGAAGCTGTACACCTACTGCTTTGGTCCTAAGCCACTGCACAACTTGGAATGAGGCTGTCCTCTACTCCACAATCTTCCTTGTGCCTCATATATAGATTTTGAAGTTTGAATTTAATAGATTTTACAGGTAAAATTATAAAGTGTCTGGGATTTGCTTTCAAACATTCCAGAAAAAAATTAGAAAACGTGGAAAAAAAAAGAGTTGGAGAGGGATGGGAGAAACTAAAAATGTTAGAAACTTGAAGGTTTCTGAAAAGCTAAGTGGTAAGTACTTAGTGTTCATGTTTACTCTTCTACATGCTTTTACGTGTGTTTGAAATTTTCCATAATGAAATGTTTAAGGCCACACTAAAGAGTGTGAACTTTTYTCTGTGGCTCCCTGAACCTGTGAAGAGTTTTGGCCTGAGGAAGGGCATGGGAAGGGCTATGAGACCTTAAAAAGCTTAACCTATGACAGTACCAGGAGGAGAAGGATCAGACCTTGATGAAAGTGGTGGCTATGAGAATAGAAACTTTTTAAAGAACTTATAGAGGATATAAATGCAAAAGAGGTACTCTGGTGGTTTGGTAGTACAGAAGTGAAACAGATGCTGAACCAGAAAATTCCCTTGTTCCTCTTTAGTCAATAGCAATTWTTGTCCTGGAACCAGTATACTGGGGACTGTAAGGACAAGGAGGAGAGGGAGAAGGGATCTTCACTGTGGAGGAACTGAACCAGGTCTTTGTACTAGATGAAGTGGAAACCMGTGGAGAAATGAAGAGTTCTGGGCTGGTGTTTTGTTTTTCCATGAGTAATTTCTGTCTTGTAGTTTCATTATAAAATTCATGGGTAAAATGGTTTGATCATCTGTCTCTATTTTCACTGGGGAAATGGGAAAAATATTGTTAATGATACAAATCACTTTTATTAGTTAAGATTGAATTATGTTGTTCATTTATGAAATTGAACACTTTAAAGAATATTTGTCTTTAATCCCTAGTACCACCAAAAAAATTAAAAAAAGAGAAAGAGAATATCTGAGGAGTTAATTAAATGAGTTCATTTATTTATTTTTAATATTTATTTATSTATTTTTTTTAGTTTTAGGTGGACACATTATTTTGTTTTTATGTGGTGCTGAGGATCAAAYCCAGTGCCTCACGCATGCTAGGCGAGCASTCTACCACTGAGCCACAACCCCAGCCCCAATTAARTGAGTTTAAATGACAAGGTCTGGGAAAACAAAACTTTGAGCTATAGCAAATTAATGAAATTTTAAATTTATGTAGCTTCTGATTTATCAATAGCAAAAATATTAAAAATAAACTCTAGATCCAATAGAAAGTAGCAGTTGGTAGAGATTAGAGAGAAACAGTAGTTTTCCACCCCTCTGTAGTCAAAGATAACTAGTACATCACATACAAACTATTAATAAGGTATGACATAACAAGACCAAGAGATACCCCAGCAAGAAGTTTCTTGATCACCTTTGCTGCCTTCTTGATTCTTATTTTTCAAGAGATTCCACTTTTAACTGCAGGCTATAAGAATAGATCATTTCTATGATTAATGCCACATCATTTTCTGTCTCAGTGTAACATACCATCTACAAAGGACTAAAGCTAAGGTCAGGGAACAGAGATAAGACCTGCTGTATCTAGTGAGAGGGAAAGCAGTGTTGGAACACACCAKATTCTTTAGCCTTACTACTTTGGAGATTCCCTGGCAGGACTTATTCCCTTAACCCAAGCTGTCATCTACCACCCCTATGCTTATGCAGTCAGAAAGAAGTGAGGTTTTGGTCAGATTTGCTGCTGGATTTGGGACTCAATTAAAATTGAACTTCTAATTCATGGTAGCTGTTGTAAAAAGCTCTCAGGAAAGTAAAAAGAGAAGACTGCAATTTCTAGCTAAAAGCAAGAGAGGTGGTTTCTATTTTACTCAGGAACTCATGGCTAAGCCGCTGGGTCACAGGAGGATTGAGGATAGAGGGACACATAGTTGTAAGTCKTATTATGGAGAAGGCTGAACTGTCATCAGTGCCTGATGGAAATGAGAGCGGGGAGGCGGCAGCAGTGTCTCTAACAGCACTGCCTCCCTTATTGCATTGTCAGAAGAGAAAGATAACCTGAGAATAGGCATCCATTATCTCTTTCTACAAAGGGATTAGTGTGGGTTGCAAGAAATTAATGGCTTTTGAGTTACCACAGAATTACTAATGAATGTCAGGACCAGAGATGTAAAGCAGATAAAATAGGCTTTTCTCTGCCTTATTTCTCTCCTTTCTCTTTTGGTTTGCTATGTTAAGATCAAGATCTTACTTTCTATAGTCAAAAGCAAAAATTTTATCCTCTGGGTGTATGACTTGCGTTCTTTAGGGAATGATTCAATTAGTTTTTTACTGTCTCCAGTGTGTGCTGGCACAGATTGAGAAACATCTCAGAAATTAAAACCTTGACCAGGGAGGAGTGCTTCCTTTTGCATGGCTGTCATTGTCATGTCTGATTAAAGTCTCACGTGGTTCCTCAATTGACAGTCCCCTTTTACTAAAGTATTAAACTGGAATATATTGCCACTCATCAGGGATTATAGGTGGCTTGATTAGATAAACACATGAAATGGAAATGGAGAAAAGAGGAAGGCAAGAGAACTAGACATACTATGCACTGGACATTGTGCTAGAAGCTTGATTTATAATTCAACAAGTACTTATGAAACACCTACTAAGTACCAGGCATAGTATTGCATGCTATCGCATAAAAACGAAAAGAGAGCCAGGTGTGGTGGTGTGTGCCTGTAATCCCAGTGGCTCCAGAGGCTGAGGCAGGAGGATCTAGAGTTCAAAGCCAGCCTCAGCAAAAGAGAGGCACTTAGCAACTCCATGAGACCCTGTCTCTAAATAAAATACAAAATAGGGCTGGGGATGTGGCTCAGTGGTGTCCCTGAGTTCAATCCCTGGTAACCTGCCTCCTCACCAAAAAATGAAGAGAGCTTACTATGCCGTAGGGAAGGCAGACTTTTTTTTAAAAACAAACTTTAAAATGTATTTTTTTTGTTTGGATATTTAATTAAACTATTATAATGCAGCCTGTTAAAAGCCTATGAAAGAGGAACATAACTGACCCAGGGAGAAGTGTGTTCACATGAGGTGGGGGAGGGGCTGAGAGCTGGACAGACTGTCTTTCTGAAGGAAGGTAAATATGTAGTCCCTGGTTGAGGCAGTGGAAAGGAGCATTGCAAGCTAAGGGAGCAGCAGCATAAGCACATTGARGCTCCGAGAGAAAACTGCATGTAARCAGAAGCCTAAAAAATGAACTGAAGGGGCTTACCAGAGAGAGGCCCATGAACTGGCCTTGGGGACTAGTGGGTACTCTGAGAAATGGGAATTTGTGAGCAGTACACTTCACTGCTTTTTTTCATTGACCCTTCCTGGCATCATGAACTTAAGGAAGGATAAGAGAATCAGCAGGAATTCATTCACATGGCAGGTTTTCTCTCATGTATTTAATACTCTGTAGACTGTTACCTAGAAAGCAAGGAATCCCAAAAGAGTGTGATTGGTCCTAGGCCTACAGGGTATATTAAATCACACTTTTTTCCAGTATTGCTGTTTTCTGCACAGACTTCGTCATATCACATTCATATCATACACCCCATTACTTACTTTTATACTCTCTCACCAAGGTAGTTCAGTTTTTAGACAAGAGATTTTTCCCCAGCTACATTTTGCCCATTAGATACTGTCCTGGAATTTTACCATTTATACTTGGTTTAATTTGAACCAGGAAGATATCAACCTTTGATCTGTTTGGCCTCTTGCACTCACCTTCTTATAACTAATCGATACTTTTATGCCTCCTTTTTTTTTCTTTCTAGAACACAAGCAGACATTCCCAAACATTCTGAAGAAGGGTTACCTGGAAATTAGAAAGGACCATGACAGTTACTGGCAAAGCTGTTACGCAGAACTGTCACCTTACAACTTATACTTCTATAGCCTCGACAGCAGTGGGAATCAAAACCCCTATGCCACGTACCAACTTTCCCACTTCCAGAGCATCTCTGTTTTGGGCAATCTTGAGGCCAGGATGGTAGACACCGTTCTCTATGACAACACTCAGCTACAGTTAAAGGCAGAGTCACCGTGGGAAGCTTTGGACTGGGGACAGAAGCTTTGGGAAGTTGTGCATGCTGCAGTGCCCGGTTACATGGGACGGCAGGATGAACTGGCAAACTCACCAGGGCTCGGCCATCATGTTGACTATACACAGAATCATTGTTTACAAGAGAAATCCAACGGGCTGCTACCACCGTCTCCTGTCTTGGATAGCTCCAAACARTACCAAAACATCCTCAAATCAGGGACACTCTACAGACTAACTGTCCAAAACAACTGGAAGGCATTTACATTTGTGCTGAGCAAGGCCTATCTTATGGCTTTTCAGCCAGGCAAGCTAGATGAGGATCCCCTGCTGAGCTACAACGTGGATGTGTGTCTGGCTGTCCAGGTAGACAACCTGGATGGCTGTGACTCTTGCTTTCAAGTCATTTTCCCTCAAGATGTCCTCCGCCTCCGAGCTGAGACCCGGCAGAGGGCTCAGGAATGGATGGAGGCTCTGAAGACAGCTGCCAATGCAGCGAGGAGTTCAGAGCAAAACCTGCAAGTCACACTGAGGAGCAAACCCAAGGATCAGCTGGGTGGGCATGAACTCAGGAAGAACAAACGTCAGTCCGTGACCACCAGCTTCCTGAGCATTCTGACAACTTTATCTTTGGAACGAGGACTCACGGCTCAGAGTTTCAAATGTGCAGGTACAGAGCAAATTTTCAGCTTAAAGCTCATTAAAGAGCAATCTTGAGTCCTGCAATTGGAATTTATTTTTTAAACACCCTTAATAAGACAGTCATAGATATCACCTGTTTACAAAAAGCATTTCTCCTGCAAGGAGTTTACTATGTTAAAAAAAAAAATCTGTCCATCCTCATACTACATTGATTAATAGAAACAGCTATGATATACCCCACTGAATCAAAATTACTTGGCTGAAGCCTAACCAGACTGGAATTTAGGCTTCCTAAGTAGGATGTGATTCCATTTCCTCTGCCTRCTTGCATAAAGTCAGGGTGACTATAGCTGTCACAGATTTTCTCATGAGAGACATTCAGTCCAAAGCTAAGTACTCACACTCCTTAGGCAAAGCAAATGTCCATAGTCAGTAACTGTCATTGATCATGACCTTGTCAAATCCTGTTAAAGTGGAATCTGGAAAGTCAGCCTTGACAGAAAATGTAGAAATAGCTAAAAGCAGGGTAGATGATTATTCAGCAGATGACTACTGAGTCACAATGGATCTGTGCCTCACCATGAGGAAGCCTAGGTTTTTGGAATTGCTGTGTAAGGGTGAGTCACAAAGTGGAGTCCAAGGCCAATACTCTGTTATGTCTGAAAACGTCAATACTGCTTCTCTCCTCTACTCCCTATTCTTCCTACTTCCCCCAAARTGGAGGGGGGTATTAAAAATGAAATCAAAATTATTTCCTTTTTATTAACCCCACAATATTTGATAATAAATTTACTGTGAAGACAACTTTAATTGGAAGTCTGTTGGGGAAGGTTTTAACTCAAGTCTATTAGATTTAATAATGCTGTTTAAAAACGAGCAAGAAACTTACCTAAAGCTGAGACTACATTTAAAATTTTATTCTTGCTCCTGCTTTGAAAGCCAAATTATAACAAAATGAAAATCCACATTAAAAAAAAATATATATATATTAGTTGTAGATGGACAGCATGCCTTTGTTTATTTTTATGTGGTGCTAAGGATTGAACCCAGTGCCTCACATGTGCTAGGCAAGCACTTTGCCACTGAACTACAGCCCCAGTCTCAAAATCCACATTTTAAATATGGTTAGTTGTGATGATGGTCTTTTCTACTGAAGAATAGTTTACTTAAAGGGAGGGAGTAAGTGAATAATCCTTGCTTTGCCCCAAGGTCTTTAGTGATTGTGGAGCAGAAACATGCAGGGTGGGATTGGAGAGATGAGAAGCTCCAAGCTAGTTAAGAAGCCATACCAGGTATGTGCATGTATTTGCAGATATGACAGACCTTGTGTTAAGTCAGACAGTTTCTTGGAATTTTCTTTTTTTCTGGTATGGGGGATTGCACCCAGGAATACTCTACTACTGAGCTACATTCCCAGCCCTTTTTAGTTTTTATTTTGAGATAGGGTCTTGCGAAGTTTACCCAGGCTGGCCTCGAACTTGGGTCCTACTGCTTCAGCCTCCTGGAATCACAGTGTGTGCCACCACATCCAGCTTTGAAATCAGTTTTGAAATAGGAGACACCAGTTTTAATACAGTTTTTAAGAAATTATTGACATTTCAGTGTCTTCTTATTCTGGTGTATATAGTATATTTCAAAGTTCAGGCATTTGACGGTAATTTATTGTGCTTACTCTGGACATCCTGGAGTTATGATACACTTCTGTGGCATTATATTACTGAGAGTCCACAAATCTGTTGTTTTCATGGAATAAGGGAGAACAGCCCAGCTTAGTTTTCAAGGTAGAGACTGGCATATCTGAATCACAAATCCATATAGTAAAAGAGTGAAGAAAAGTCTCAAKTGCTACACGAAGGTTGTCACCTAGCTGTCACTTATTCACCTTCCTCTCAGAAGTTTGTATCCTGATGGARTGTGCATTGCCGCCCCGTTCTGTACGGCAATATAGTGTTCTTAGCCATCAGAGGGAAGAGAAATGTCAGACATAGAGAGCCCACTGCATCCAGCAGTAGGAGAAATGAAAACAGGAAAAAGATAAAAGAGAAGTGAAAAGAGACAGGGAAAGGGAAGCAAGGAGAAAAGAAGAAAGTATTATAGAATAAGCAGGAATGGATCTTTCTGGTAGCTCCTTTGGGTTCTGTGTGATAGGATGCTTCCCTTTGCTGTCTAAATTTGGTGCTCACTAAATTTGGCTGATTGGAGGGCAGTGGGAAAGGGTAGGGGAAGGGACTCAAGGGGGTAGGATGACAAGCCTGCAGTTCATTTACTCTGCTTTTACCTTCATGCTTTGGTTTGGAACTAATGGGGGTACGGGTATGTTTCTAATTTTGGAGAGAGGATAATGCTGATTTATATAGTAGGGCACATTCCAAAGCAAAAATTGATGTATTTCATTTAAATGTCACCTTTTCTATCAGAGAGTACTACATTCAGTTGCTTTGTGATACATGTGGCTTACTTGCCTGCTTTTCATTCTTGATGCTAGCATGTGGAATATTGGTTTCCAGACACAGGCAGGAGCACATTATCTCCTGTAGGGGGCAGAGTCTCAAAAGAAAAAGGCAAAAAAAAAAAAAAAAAAAACTTGTTAAGCAGAGCTCTGGATGTTTTTTAAATTACTTGGGAGGCTGTTCATTATATCAAAGATTATTATAGCAGATGGAACAGTAAAAATTGACCTGTGTTTCTCAGAAACACAGTTAATTTAAACCAGCTGCTTCTGCCTTTTGTACCTTTATTGTCTAACTTAGCATCCTCATAAAAAGACACATTTAGTAAAAAGTAACATAGCATGTTTACCTTCTAAAACACCCAAAAGTTTAATATATTGGTTGTAGTGAGTTTGGGCTTTATATACTAGTTTAAGGAGAAGTTAATTCACAGTATTACATGGCTTTAGTGTGTCTCTTTAAACTATAAGTTCRTATATGTATACATGCATATGAAGTTCTTCCTCCTTTAAATAGTTTGGATGAATAAACTTTAAATGTGGAAGATTACACTGAGTAGCTCCTTATTATGTCATTGAGTTGCTATTCAGGGGAGCCACAAGCACTGGCTTTTAAGTCTATAAAACAGTACTGTTGGCCATAGTTCACTAAATTCTTTCTATAAGTGGAGACTTTTCTATATCCTTCTTTAAAATTTAAAGAGCCCCTGCAGAGAAAATGGACCATGACCATCCAAAAATGTCTGAGGTTATGGTTTTGAAAATATATGCTGATTGTAACTRTATCTTTCTTTGCATGTGCTTGGACTTTTGATAGTTATATTTGATTGTGTGTGATTACTCCATAACTTCCTTTCCAGCTCCTTGGCTGCCTGTGCTTGGGAAGCCCAACCACTGTGGTCTTGCTGTTCCTAAACTTACAGGGGTCCTGCCTGCATCCAGGGCCTTTTCACTTGCTAGCCCTACTTCCTGAAATTTGAAAATTGAATTCTTCCATTCATTCTGTCATTTATTGTTTGCCCAGAATCTTGGGTGCACCCAGACATACAATTTAGTATTGCAGGAAAGAAGATAAAAGTCCTTGTCCTCAGGAAACTTGCAGTCTGCTAGGAAACACAAGTTGTTTATCAAATAATTCCAWTAGTGGCTGCCAAAAAGGCAGCTATGACAAGAGCCTTCTAAGTGGGGCCCACATATCAGAAAACTGTCAGAGGTGGTGTGAGGTAGAACTAAATTAAATCATAGACCTCCAATCAGTTTTAGCCCACAAAAAAACAAAAAACAAAAAAACAGGCAGTTGATAAAGTTGAACTTAATGTTTCACCTTGAAGTCACAGAAGATTTTTGTACAGAGGAGCGCATACCAGAAATGATATTGAAGAACTGTTAATTTGGAAGTGCTTTAGTCCAACTTTTCAGGAACACCTCTGTAGCAGAAAATGAGGAATGTGTTTTCAGTAAAATTGCTGGTTAGAATTCAAAATTATAGTTGGCAACAGGGCATCTGTGATGTTTTGATAGTAATGCTAAAACAAATAATTATTTAGCTTTTTAAAATATTTAGGAAGGATGTACATGGTAAGTGGTTATAAGACTATTCCTAAATGCTGTAGAGATTGGATTATAAGGTAGCAACTGTGTTTTCTTTAGGAAGTTGACATGTGTACATACCTGTTTACACTCAATAGAGACATGGTTTTCTTGGCAGTAGCACACACAGATGTTTTTCCTTTAATTTCTCAGCAATCAAGAAACCTAACAATTGAGTAGTACAATCAAAGAGCCCGGGGACTTGTTTATAGGTGTGACAAGAGTAGCAGAGCTCACCTTTGAAAGCATTCCTGTGTGACTGTTTTGTAATCTGGAGCTAAAACTGGATGACCCACTGTGGGGCAATGTTCCTGATTCTGAACTGAAGTTGAACATGTTAAGGAAGAAAACAGAGAGCCTTGGGGATCTCCTACACCATTTTCACAATGTTAGTTTTTATGGTTTTACTCCTTTGGCTGCTGTTTAACCTCTTGGGACTGCTGTTGATAATTACATCTCTCTGGCATTAAGAGCTTTTTGCTTTCCTTTTTCTTGCATCCAACCCTTGGGAGGGGTAAACCCAAGGGGGGGAAAAGTTTTGCTGTGAATTCTTCAGCCATTTAGTGCAAATTCCTGTAATTACCGGCATTGTGTCTTCTCTGAATGGCACATAATACAGCAGAAGCCATTCCTAATTGAGACCTTACAGGAGGTACAAATCCCCTCTTTGTTCAGCCTGACAAATTAGTGCCAGAAAGTGGCAGGGTCCGAGTGGGAATCAAAGGCAAGAAACACAAAGATGGAACTTAAGGCTACAGTAATAACCCTCTCTTGTCCTGAAGGGAAAAAAAGTAATGACCAATGAAAAATGAAGGTTTTTTTTTTTTGTTATAAATTCCCTTGACGTGACAGCACCTCGGGGCTGCTCTATTTATTTAGCAAAAGTGATTAAATAGCAATACAACAGGGCGGCCCCTTGTTTCCCTAGATGCCCCCCACCTCACAGACCCCTGCTGCCTTGGCTAATTGATTGACAATGAACCTGTGAT